TTATATATTTGTAATTAATCAAAACTATTCTTTAATAAACTTAGAATCTTTATAGAAAACTTTTTAAAAGTTATAAATATAATTAAAATATATTTTTAATTCGATTCAATATTTTACAAATCAATATATCTAAAGCTTTTCGATATATTTCGTATTCTTTAATTCAAGACTATAATTTGCTATATCTTTCATATTCTTAAATTTAAATAAAAAACCTTTCAAATCTATATTAAGAATATATTGAATAAATATTTTCTCTTCTAATTCAATCAAATTATAACTTTTTAATTAACTTTTAGTTATATTAGATTTACTTTGAATTCTATTATCTAATATAATTCGAGATATACAACAAAACTAAACTACTTTTCGAATTAATAATGTTTTATTTAATTCAATAACTTGAATAGTTAAGATTATATATATTTCTTTAGAATGAATTTTTATAATTAATTATAAAGAAAACGCATATTGAATATAGAATAATAATTCGAGGTAAAAGTGACTGATCCACTGATATAGCCGACCCACTGATAAACTACGTTATTTGGTACTATGATACAATAAAATTATGACATTATAGTATTATACTGTCATGATGTAATACTAACGTGGTTTATCATCGAGTAGCCCATTTCATCAAGTGGCCCACTTTCATTTTAATTTATACTTTCAAATCCATATTATTCAATAATAATTAAATTAATTAATTGAAATTATTAGTAATCTAATAATCTAGAATCTATTATATTATTTCAATAAATTCTTATATTATATTCTATTTTTCTATATTTATTATAATATCAATTAAAAAATACTTTTTATTAGAATTTCTTTTTTTTTGATATTTATTATATTGAATATGAATATTAACCTTTTATTGAAATAATATATCAAAAGCCTTTTATTTAATGAATATTTCTTTTTAATATAATTAGGTTTTTTTTTGTATATCAATATTTGTTTAATGCTTTATTTGCTACTCAAAGTATATAAATCTTTATATTTAAAAGTGTATTTTTATAAGCTAATCTCTTTATATTCTTAATTAGAATTAATATAATTTTGAATATAGGTATAAAAAAGCTTATTTGATAATAAGTTATTCGAGATTTAATTAATATTGATTAAAAAAGAGCTTTAATTGAATTATAAAAGATTTAAGAAATTTATTAATTTAAATTGAAAACGAGAAAAGTAGATATACAAATTTGAATATTTAATTTCGAAAATATAGTTTCAGAATTAAATAGAATTAAATCTATTTTTTGAAATTCTGATTTTATATTTTGAAAAGTGATTGATTTTTTGTATATAATTTTAAAAGTTATAAAGAATTCAATCATTGAAATATAATTAATATATATCTTAATAAATCTATTAATTTAATTATTATATAAATATTTTAGATTATTAAAATAATTAATATCAAATAATTAAATTAAATGATTTAAATGTAATAATAAATATAAATATATAATATTGTTTTTTTTATAATATATTTGAAAAGCTATTGATTTATAATTTTCATATTTATTTAATATTAATATTCGATATTTGCTTTTTTTTTCGATTTTTAATATATTTATCAAAATGTTTCAATTATTCTAAATTTATTTTATTATTTGTTATTTATAGATATAGGTTTTAATAATTTATTTTATAGGAAGATTTGTTTTTAATATATTAATTAGAGAAATGAATTTATTCTTAAATTATTAGAAATAAGGGAATAATTTCATTCTTTTTATTTCTATATATTATTACTATAATCTATTTTCAATTATTTAATTATATTATTTTATTTCTATTATTTTGTTTAATATTAGTTATTATTATTGCTATATATATAATCCTTATATAAAGCTTATTTTATCAAAATTATAGAAATTTCTATTTAAAATATTATATTTCGCATATATATTTGTAATTAATTGAAACTATTTTTCAAAAAATTTAGAATTCTTATAGAAAACTTTTTGAAAGTTATAAATATAACTAAAATATATCTTAATTTGATTTAATTATTTTATAAATCAATATACTCAAAACTTTTTAATATATTTTATATTCTTTAATTGAAAATATTATTTATTATATTTTCTATATTCTTTAATTTAAATGAAAATTCTCTTAAATTCATATCAAATATATATTAAATAATTACTTTTTTTTTAATTCTATAATTTCATAATAATTCATTTAAATTTCTATATAAAAAAATAAATCTTTTATTTTATATTAAAAAATTATATAAGAAATATTATAAAGTATAATAATTTTTTGAATATTTAATTTTTTATTTTTATAAATAATTTTAATAATAAAGAATATATAAGCTTTTTGATTATTCAAATTTATTATAGATTGTTGATAAAATGTATATTGAAAAAAATAGGTGTAAATTGAAATGAAAGTGGGCTACTCAATGATATAGGCTACTCGATAATAAACCACATTATATCAAATCATAACGAGTCTTTGCGGAGTGCGCATTCTCGAGTCTGGTGAATTTATGTATGTATGTATGTATGTATGTATGTATGTATGTATGTATGTATGTATGTATGTATGTATGATGTGGGGTGGGATGGGATGATAGATTTGGTTTGATTTGATGGTTTGATATTTGGTGGGTTGATGGGAGGATTTTGGGGGGATGGGATGTTTGGGGGGTATGATGTTTGGGGAGTGTGACTGTGACTGTGACTGTGAATTTGGATTTTGTATCTGGGATTCAATAGGTAGTTGAGGAATAAAATGGAATTTATATAGGTATTGTTTATGTACTGGTGGATAGTTGGATTTGGGGTGAGGTAGATAGATATATTAGTAAATAGATCGATAAATCAAGTAATTCAATGGATAGGTAGATGAATAGGGAGGTAGGGGGGTAGGAGGGTAGGAGGTATATTGATATTAGTTTTGTATTTTGTAGCTTTTTGATATGAGATGGATGAAATAGATAGATATCTAGATAGGTGTATAGGTGTGTAGGTGTATAGATGAAGATAAAGATAGATGTAGAGAGATGTAGAGAATTCGATTTCTATATAAAGAATGATTTGTTCATATGGGTGAATTGTTAAAGATTCTAGGTTATTTATTGATATTGATATTGATATTCCGTAATTGTGAATTCTTACGACTCTATTTAGATTGTCTAGATACTATTTGCTAATTATCTGACGTCTAATTTCGTAATTGTACCTATGTATGTACACAGAACATCCTAATCAGGAACAATACAGACGATTGAGAATCCAATTGATATCTTTAGAATAACAGAAGATTAGAATAGCAGAAGATCGGCCTCGAATCTAGGAGCTGTTGCTCCTTTCAATGTAACTTCAACTATACACGATCGTGAGATGCCCTCAGATCCCGATCATGAAATCAATTGCACGAGATGATTCGCTCGTGTTTTCTGCATGAATCTTACGGAGTAAGAAACGGTATGGTATGGTATGTATGGTATGAAAAGTACCTATGAAAAGTATGTCGTACCAGATCGTTAGCTTGCACACTTGCGCGCGGTCTGCATGATTCCCTCGAGCTGAAGCGGATGGTATGATATGATATTATATTGCCTCGTTACATATGTCATGATGATCGTATGCTCTTGCGCGTTCCCCTTGTTCGCTCGGAAGGGGTTGAGGGTTCCGGTGTGTGTGTGTGTGTGGTGCTGGGAATACTCGGTACGGTGTTGGGGGTTGGACTGCACTGGACTGGTTGGGAGGGAGGAAGGGAGTGGGGCTGAGTAGATGTATTCATGTAAGGAGTGCGGGGACCTACAGGTTATTTTAACGGCGGGCGGGGCGACCGTTGTAGTTTGAGGGGATTGGAGAAGATTGAGGCAATTGATTGAATGATTGATTGATTGATTGATTTACTGAACCCTACTACCTACTCGAGTAAGGTGATACTGTACATAGTAGTTCGTTTGTTTCGGTTCGTTTATTCGGGCTCGTGCTGTAGATATTAGGTCGGTTACGATGTTCTTCATACATAGTACATTCGTAGTCGGTTTATAAATATCATTTTGCATCCGATGGATGAATGGATGAATGAATGGATAGATGGATAGATGCAGTAAGCCAAACTTCACGACTAACAACTGGTGAAACGGAAGTTTATGATTCCTTCATTCAGCATGCTCGTATGCGACTCTCAAGGTATGAATCGGATATTTCAAGGTTACCGCCTCACTCAAAGACTAGGGAATGTGAGAAGCAAGCACATGATTGCTACGTGGGCAATTGAAAACAAGAAGCCTCATGGCGACCCAAAGAGTGGCTTGTTTTTTTTTAGGTTCATGCCCAACGAGATGGTCATTGAGAATTAGATGGGCGGTTTTATGATATGATTACGACCGAGGGCATAAGATCAGTGATACTGTCTGTGGTGTTGTTGTTTTGAGGAATGGGAATGGATGGGTGGGTGTATCAATAGATACGTAGAAAGTAGGTATAGGTATAGAACAGAACAGAACGCTATATGGATCTGTGTTGAGAAGTACACCTACTACCTGTCTCCTAGCTGGGTAATCGTACAATACTATATTTGGTATTTGGTGAGTTGTAACACAGATTAGAATGAATTCCCGTGGTCACAAAGTGAACTTGTGTTTCGTGTTGAGACCTGGTGGACTTGAGATTTGAAGGGAGTATGGGGATCGGTATTGTAGATATATCTATGACGATGAATATGATGAGTACTAGATAGTTACTTTATATGCGTATGTACCTCGGTAGAAAGTGTATGAAATATCTGACGATATACATGTTCTTGTCATTATCATCATTGTATTCCGTTGTGTCAGATCGGCGCGTTCAATATCAAAGTGAGGCAATTGAAGAGAAAAGAAAGGAAAGACAAAATAATAAGAGGCAACCAGTGGGGAAAGAGGATAAGTTGATAACGGAGAAGAGGATACCAGTTCGTCATTCTAAAACAAATCTCTCCATAATGTTCCTGAAATTCCGGGTGTTGTCATCCACCTACTCAATACCTACTTGATTAATTCATCTTTTACTTATGCCACCTCATATATATTTCTGGGGGAAAATACACTCAAACTCAACCGCATCCATATCCACATCTACATCCACACATCCACCCACTCACTCACTACATTGATGCATGTGCATCATACTTACAGCAAATAATGATACGGTATTTTATCTTCTTGTTCTTCCACGTTCCTTTAATTTGAATTGAGAGAAGAAGGAAAAAAAAAAGTGTACAGCCTTCTTTTTTCTCTCTTTGCATTGCATCGCATCGCATCGCATCTTTTCATCCCTTTTTCTATTCTTAACATATACATCCCGATCCATCTCTACAATTCTTTTGGGCGTATTGTGATACGAACAAGGCAGGGGAATAATTCAACAGGTTGACCTTATTCACGACCTCCTCGAGAAAATTTCAATAAATATCGACGTCGATATCTCCGAATAGAATACTTTTCTTCGCCTCTCATTCTTTGCTTGTATGCTTCTTTGAATTTAATGATACCCTTTCTTCTCAATACATTGAGAAAGCATCGCCTGTCTTCTTTTCTTCTTTTTCCCGAATAACTGCTTGCTACACTACACAATCAATTCTACTCCGTACAGTCATCTTACAAGCCTGCCGAACCATTGATGTGACCTTGTTGAAAACTTTATACTGCTATCCTTCTAGGGTGTTATTCCTTTTCCGCAGATGTAGGAATCGATTCTCTTTGCACAACACTTCAATTTGAGTGTACTGACGTGTATCCCAGTTTATGGGAAAATACTGGCTCAAATTTACGAGAAGGATGATGGCACAAACGGAGCCAGATTCGCCGGAATCGAACAACCATAGAATATCCTGGTTTCGAAAGCTCATATTTCCCAAGAAGGATGAAAATCATACACCGCCGAGTTCTCCACCGAACGAAGCTCAACCGCCGGGATTGGGTCGTCGACTTTCGAGAAGGGTTGTCCCTGGACTCCCAAGGGCAGGTACCTTTAAAAGACAACAATCGGAGCTGAGAGATAGATTAGAACCAGTCAAGCCGAATGCTGATGAACGGCGGACAGCTTCAGTCGATCGACGACTTAATAACTCGCATCGTTCCTCATCAGCTGCTATAAATCATGGACCAAGAACGAGCGCGCCTGAGTTTCTAGAAAGAGTGGAAACGATCGATAAGACGTTTGACAATGTATCCGTGCGACCACCTACGGCAACTACAAATGAACATGAGAACGAGTCTCAAGAGTATGTAGATGTTTCAAAGGAGGAGAAACAAGGCTCACATATCGAAGAGCAATCAATATCTACAGATACGTTCGATGAAACAATACTTGAGGAGCTGGAAAAGAAATGGATTCTGAATCTGAGTATGCATTTTCGCGATAAATCTAAAAGAGAAAAATTCTTTGTCACTTACGCAGAATCACCAACACACTGGCGGAGAGTTACGATTTCCTTGGATTATAGAAATGCGCCGAGTAGTTCATTGGAGGAAGAACTACAAAGGACAAGGTTCCAAAGAGACAAAAGTGCGCGCATATATGAGGCTATCCGGGAATCACTCCAGGACATACAATTTTACGATACTGTGACAAATCTCAAGTTAGAAACACAGGATGAACGACTTCATGTTCACGTTGTGGAAGATCTCTCCGAGGTTATTAATTTTCCTCCTACAAAGGCACTCAATCACCTTCCATGTCGCAGATTTCTAGAAGCGGAGCTTGAATTTGATTCTCATCTATCTGGTTTCGTCTACAAGGTTACAGTGGCTGGCCAAGTGTTTATCAAAAAGGAAATTCCAGGACCGGATCAAGTGGATGAATTTTTGTATGAGATTAATGCCCTTCATCAACTTTCTGGATCTCATAGTGTGATTCAATTTGGTGGCGTGGTACTTGATAATGAAGCAAAATGCGTGAAAGGACTTCTTATTAGCTTCGCTGAACAGGGCGCATTGATTGATGTTATTTATGATGGTGACAATGGGATTCCTTGGGCACGACGGGAACGTTGGGCTAAACAAATTGTTCATGGACTTTCCGAGATTCACGAGGCGGGTTTTGTTCAAGGAGATTTCACACTGTCGAATATTGTCATAGATGGGGATGATAATGCAAAGATAATCGATATCAACCGCAGAGGTTGCCCAGTTGGATGGGAGCCTCCGGAAGTCGCGGCGTTGATAGAAAGCAACCAGAGAATTTCGATGTATATAGGCGTCAAATCCGATTTATATCAACTTGGAATGGTTCTCTACGCCTTGGCCACTCAACACGATGAACCGGAAACTCAGAGACCGTTGAAATTATCAGATTTTCCTCCTGATGTGCCGGACTATTTCCTGGAAGTTTGCGGTCGTTGTCTTAGCGATGATCCACGAAATCGATCACAAGCTGCTGCTTTGCTAGACTATTTCCCACATATTGATGAGTATCATAGTGTATATGATGATCAATTACCAACTCCAATTGTGATTGATGTCAGGCATGCTGATGAAGGGGAACTGTTGGTCACCGTTCATGATAACAACGATAGGCGAGATAGCATCTCTGATATACATGACTACGATGTACCGGAAAGGGGTCGATCACGATCTAAACCTTATTCACCACCATTCATCTCACCCAGATCACCAGATGCGGCGATTACATACTTGAATACACAGGATATCAGGCCATCACAAATCCAATTGCCCTCATCCACTTCCGGATCTGATAATACGCATGATCCAATCGAGCAACATTACAATTACCAAAATACTTCGACCATAGAAAATTCCACCCTAGAAACTCGACAGGAGCAACATTCCGATCGTCCTTCATATTCAGAAAATGATAAAACAGACATTCAAACCGATTCAACGACAGAACCGCGAAACACAGTAGCGACAAATAATTTATCAATGGCATTTGCGGGGGATTTAGCACACATTGGAACAGGTGTTGATAGTGCACATATGGGAACACTTTTTGGAGCGGTCAATTTAGATGATGATGATTTAACGATAGATAATGATGGGAATGGTGTTTTATTTATGACGTCGGAGGAAAAGATGGCGGTTGCATAGTTAGCATAAGGATGGACTGAGACCTCGGGAGGCAAATGTGCTTTGGACAAATCTATTTCAGCAGCTGGTATAATGAAATTTTTCCTTTCGAACGGATTGCATGTGTTATTCTGGGATCAAAAGCTTTTGGGTGATGGATGGGAGTAGGTATTCTGTTTCGGAAATGTACGATATCAGGAATATGAAAGGGATTGAAATGAGCTAGACTCGACTGATTTGATGGACAGTGAGGTCACTATTCAATCTGAAACACTTTCGTTTTTCTTCTTAACATGGTTATTGTAGCCGCCTTCCGCAACATCAATGTCGATATCTATATCTATATTTCTTTCCTCCAAAATGTCTACAAACCCTTCGGGTCCGTGATCGGCTACGGAGGGCTCCGCCCAATAAGCTAACATAGCTAGCATGAAGATCATTGGATTCCTATTGGATTTTCTGACCCCAGCGTGTTCCGACGGATTGGGGGAAATGATAACCAATGCGATAAGAGCTTATCTATCCAATTGTATTACTCGATTAGAATAGCTTTTTGTATCGTTAAACTTTTTCTCTTACGCCTCGACAAATGTCAGTGTTGGGTTTCCTTATCGCCACGATTGCAGATGTGGTCAAGCTGCGTGAGCAACGAGCTACGGCAAGGGGCGGACTCCATTTTTTTCTCGTGCATGTGGGAATCGGAAATCCAGATCGAGGAGTTTTGAGAAATTGTGACTGGGTTTGGGGGAGAGAGATGGGGTGTGGGTGCTGGTGCTGGTGTCGTATCTAGGCGTGGAGAATGAATGAAATTTGATGGGTGGGTTAGGTTGCCTAGTGTGTACGATACTGGATTGACCTCTTATTGTGTGGTGAGCGAGAGCTACTTTCTTCCTGTGATATGATATTGGTGCTCGGAATCTGCAAACTACAGATTGATTTTGTTTTCTCGGGATTTCCGTCTGGCGTGGAAGTGGACGTCTCCGATTTTTTCCTCGGGGGTTAATTTATATCTATACGCATACTTATCGTCGAGAGCTGTGGTTGGGGCTGGGTGGAGAGGATATATAGAGTTGACGATCCTCTTTTTTCTTCTTGGCTTTCATTCGGTTTTGTTCTGTTGTGTTATTTGCATTGTATTTTATTGCATTGATTCAATTGTCTTCCCTTGCCTTTGATTCTCTGGACTCGAGATCGATCTAGTATTCACCTAGCTTGGGATTTTGGTTTTGACTTTGAGATCGTCGTCAAAGAAGCTATCTACGCGAGTAATAATCTTACTTAACCGCAACGCAACTTCGAAATTAGTTGGTCGATACTCGACAATTGTGTCGTGGGAAGATATATAATGGCGGTCACGATTGATAGTGGACCGCAGGATGGACCGGATAGAATTGTGTCTGAGAATTCGAGGGAGAGGACGATGGGAGAGAGGCTGCGGGGGACTGTGAGGGCTTTTACGACGAAGGAGGGGTTGGTGGGGAATTATGATTATGGTAGGTTTGAAATCTGAATTGTGGATGGGATGTTTTATCTTGTTCCTTTTGCTTCCATTCTCTCATAATTGAGGAAGCTCCAAATTTCATATCCACGAAAGATTCCAATGCTAAATAATCATAGCCTTCCTCTTCAAACCCAATCTTCCATTTATGAAGAAATCCAAAAAACGAGCTCCTTTCTTCGGCCTCCAAGATCGTATGCCAGTTTTACTAGGTCTTCTTCTCGGGTTTCAACATTCTCTATCTATGTTGGCTGGTATTATTACCCCTCCCATTCTCATAGCCGGATCCGCATATTTCGACGCGGAAACTACTCAATATCTCGTTTCTACTTCTCTGATTGTGTCGGGTATTCTATCTGCGGTTCAAATCACCCGATTTAAGATTATGAAAACACCTTATTATATCGGTACCGGTTTGATCTCGGTCGTGGGTACTTCATTTGCTATCATACCTCTTGCTTCAAAGGGATTCTCACAAATGTACGCAAATGGTATGTGTAAAACGGCGGAAGATGGAACGCCATTACCTTGTCCGGAAGGATATGGTGCTTTACTTGGAACAGCATCGCTATGTGCACTTCTCGAAATAGGACTCTCGTTTATGACGCCTAAACTTTTGAAGAAACTTTTCCCACCGATTGTTACAGGCCCGACGGTTATGCTGATTGGGGTTTCGCTTATCCTGACGGGATTGGAAGGCTGGGCCGGAGGAAGTGGAACTTGTATGTCCAGACCTACTACGGGGGATTATATGTTTTGCCCTTCTAACGCCGCACCGCATCCACTTCCATGGGGATCCGCTGAGTTTATCGGTCTTGGCTTCTCGGTATTCATCACTATTATCATTTGCGAACGTTTCGGATCGCCAATTATGAAATCTCTCGCTGTTGTTCTCGGTCTTTTAGTTGGTTGTATCATCGCGGCTGCATGTGGCTATTTCGACAGCAGTGGGATCACCGCAGCTCCGGTCGCATCTTTCATCTGGGTCAAAACTTTCCCACTGAGTGTCTACGGTCCTTTCATACTACCTCTTCTAGCGATCTACCTTATCCTAATGATGGAAGCTATTGGTGACATAACCGCCACCTGCGATGTATCTCGTCTCCAAGTCGACGGTATCCTCTTCGATTCGCGTATTCAAGGAGGTGTCCTCGCAGATGGTCTTAATGGCATGTTAGCCGGACTCTGCACCATCACACCCATGTCAACCTTTGCTCAAAACAACGGTGTCATTGCCTTAACACGTTGCGCCAACCGCAAAGCCGGTTTCGCCGCATGCTTTTTCCTCGTCGTCATGGGTGTCTTTGCTAAATTCGCCGCGGCTATTACATCGATTCCAGATGCGGTCCTAGGCGGCATGACCACTTTCCTCTTCGCGAGTGTGGCGGTCTCGGGTCTGAGAATTATCTCCACGGTGCCGTTTACGAGGAGAACGAGATTCATCTTGACGGCTAGTTTGGCGCTGGGTTATGGAGCGACGCTCGTGCCAACGTGGTTTTCGTATGTTTTTACATATACTGGGGATAATAGGGCGAAAGCGGGATTCTTTGATGCGATTGTTTTGGTGATGGAGACGGGATTCGCGGTGACGGCGTTTGTGGCCGTGGCGTTGAATCTGGGGTTGCCGGAGGAGGATGAAGATGAGGAGGTGGAGAGTTTAGCGGGGGACTTGGGGGAAAGAGAGGCGGAGGAGAGGGCGTTGGAGGGGAGAGAGATGGGAACGCTGGGGGAACACGGGAGTGGGAGTGGAAGTTTTGAGATGGGGAAGGCGGGGGAGGTGGGGTTAGGGAGGGAAGGAAAATAATTGATGGGAGAGAGCTTAGATAATCGGTTGGAATATGTGCGTGTTTACGTTTTTGTCAAAATTATTGATAGCGGTGGGATCTGGAAATGGAGTTTGAGGGCTGGCAATTTGGATATAGCGTATGAGGGGGTGAAAAACTATCTATTGGGAAGTACTAGGAATACCTGAACTAAGCTAACCTTAAGCTACTGGGATTAAGATATCATGAATATGAAATTTAATATGATGATATGACGTATGTTCAATATCAAATCGAACTTTTGCTTTGTGGTTGAGAGAATGATATGAGGTGCCGCTTAAATTTGCATGGAAACCAGCCTTCTCGTGCTGTGCCGTTCGTCTAGGCTTTCCGCGCCGTTAAGTCTTTATTAAATTGGAATTTTCCACATAGAGTCTTGCGAGCATCTCTCTTGAATTGCTTGGTCACCACAATAGAACCCTCAGAACAAGGAAATAAACCTTCTATTCTACAAAATGGTTTTCTTTTACCCAGCACTCTTTCTTATATCGTTTCTTCTCTACAACGTGTACTCGCTGTATGTGAATTACAAAGATGCATCGGCATTGGGCTTGCCCCGCGTAATCAGCCCTATCACTCCTGATAACCCTTTATGGATTGCGCTCCAAACGATATTCAAGACTGTTGTACGGCAATTCCCCTTCGGTGCAGTTTCATTCACGAGACACACCCGTCTGGGATGGGAATTCCACGATAGGTTCCATACTCACGTACGTCTTGGAGACGCTTGGGTTCTGGTAACGCCCGCAAGAAACTGGATTTTTGTAGCAAACGCTGCCACGGTTACTGATATCTTTTCTCGTGGTCGGGACTTTGTACGCCCCATATGGATGCTGGGTAAATTCTCCCATAATTTTGTTGCTGAGAACGTGCTTATATGAAGTAGAAGCCCTCAATGTCTTTGGACCAAATATCTCGACTGTAAGATATCTTCAACTCAACATCACTGCCACGAGCTCACAAATTTTAGGCAGAAGGACACGATTGGCAGAGACAAAGAAAACTGACTGCCACTCCATTCAATGAACAAAAAAGCCCTCAGGTGTGGGACGAATCTTTTCGCCAAGCTGAGGATATGTTGCGGTCATGGTGTACTCAAAGTAGGGATGGGACAAATGCAACGCCGGACGATACTAGAACTTTAGCGTTACACGTGCTTGCATATGTTGCTTTTCAAAAGTCATACCCATTCGGTAGCATTTCTCACCATAAAATTCAGGACCAAGACTCTCTGACTTATCGGGATTCTATCTCGATCATCCTGGAGAATGCCCTGCTCATAATGGTTCTTCCCGAGAAGCTATTCAATCTGCCATTCTTGCCACGCAGCTCTCGGCAAGTTGGGTGGGCAATCAATTTCTTCCGCAACTATATGGCTTCCCAAGTAGCAGCGGAGAGGAGATTAATACAGAATGGCGAGTCTGGTACTGGGAACCTGGTCGGTAACTTGGTCCGAGCCTCGAACGAAAGCCATTCTACTAGCCTCGATCCCGGCGCAGACAATAAACTCAAGCCTTTAACAAACGCCGAGATCCTGGGTAACATCTTCGTGTTCAATTTTGCTGGACATGATACCACTGCTATATCGCTTTCCTACGCCATGCTACTTTTAGTGGCGAATCCACAGACTCAGGATTGGGTTCACGAAGAAATCAAGTATTATGTTGGGGATCGAGATCCGAAAACACTAGCATATAGTGAGCTGTTTCCGAAGCTCAAGCGATCTCTTGCGATTTTGGTAAGAACAATTTCTCGGGAAAAATACCTAGATGGCCAGCTAATTCCTTGCCTTAGCTTGAAACACTACGTCTCTATAATCCTCTTCCCGGTATACCGAAATATACCGGCTCCAAGTCTACCGACCTAGTAGTCGATGACCAGATCTATCACATTCCCGCCAACTACTTGGTGGTTCCTCATTTGCAAGCTTTACATACACACCCCCGTCATTGGGGTGATGACTCCCTGACATGGCGCCCAGAAAGATGGATTGAAAACTCTGGCCATCTTGAGAAAGAAAGTCTATTTCATCCACCCAAGGGCACTTACTTTCCATGGTCCGAAGGCATTAGGAACTGCCCCGGCAAGAGGTTTGCGCAAGTGGAATTTGTGGCTACCTTGACCGCACTCTTCAGAAGCCATGCTGCCGAGCCCGTACCCAACAAAGGCGAATCCCTCGACGCAGCTAGGAAGCGGACTTTGGACACCGTCAAAGATAGTAACGTGGAGTTACTTCTGCAAATGGCACATCCAAGAAGTGTTTCTATTCGATGGAGACAAAGGCCAGCCAGCTGGAAAGTAGTACCTCGCTATGAATAAATGTGCGAGGTCTGCAACTTTGGACATCATCTTTTTGGACACCTTTCGTAAATACTTAGGCAAGCAAGATTTTTAAGATTCTGAAAATTTCATCACTGAAACCCCAAGACTTTGAAATCTGCACTCGAAATGAGTGGTTAAGCGAGTAGAATAGTTGTATTGAACAGTAGGAGTAAACCGCTGAAAACAGGGTGTAAATCACTAATATCTAGTTGTTTATAGATTTATTCTCAAGTCTTTATAAAAAGAAATCTAAGATAAATTAATTTCTCATACATCTAAGATCTAATAAATAAAACAAAAATGTTATAATACTAAATAATTAAAAATAAAATAAAATTTATATTTCGTATAATTGTAAAATTAAATTTATGTCACGAGATGAGCCGCAATCCATGATGATGAGAAGTGTAATGGATCAAGATTAAAGTCTTTGATAGGTAGTCCCTGTGGGCATTGATTAAATATACATATTTCGATGCATTAGTTCAACTCGAGCTATCTATGAAATAGTAGTGAATAGTACAAAGGTAGGTGGGTATGGATGGTTACACAGTCCTAACCACCTCCTTCCTTCGTTCATTCCCACAACATCGAAACCCTCCCCCCAAACCCAACCAATCTCGTACCTGCGCCTGCATCTCCACACTAGCATACTATCTGTTCTGTACTGACTCTCACAACGCAACCCAATACAACACAACAGCGCACCCATCCCATTCCGACCCGGTACCCTTCGGACAACATCCCCAATCGACCCGACCCGACCGACTGCGCACGTCGGATCTGCAGGCACACCTCGAACCCAGAAATCCCATGTGCATCGGGAATGTCTCCTGAAATGGATATGTGTCCGTCCATGGTGCGCACTTCTTCTCGTGATTCGTGGATCCTAGAGATGTGGAGATTTTTGTGTGGATGTTTGGGACAGAGGGGGAGGGGTACGCTTCGTATTCAGATCATGCTCTTCTTTGTTTTGTCATCCACACTGTCACTTTGAATTCAAAGAAAGTTCAACCCCATGAACAGTTTTCTTTTGAGAGGAAATTTTTTTGGAGTTTTTTCACCGATGCAGGTGTATCTAGGTCGGTACCGAATTTTTTGGTTCGCGTGCTCAAACAAGTGTCAGGCATGTCAGCATTGCAGATGGAGGGCCCCCAGTCCCTACGAAGGAAGCATCACAAATAAGGAAGTCAGTAAAGAAGTGATCAAAAACATAAGCAAGCCACGCACACAAATCTTCAGAGGTACGAAAGGTACACCGGTGTATCTAACGGTTCCATTACATAAATTCCTGTGTATCTCGTATCGTGTGTGTATGGATGTGCAAGGCAGTCCCATCAAGTCCACTCTTAAATGAGAAATATATGAATGTCAGATCTTCCCACCGGGTTCCTTTTGTTAAAAAAAAAATTGGTTCGGTCGGATTCGATTCGATTTGAACTTTCTTTTACTGTGAGAGGTGCGAGGGATGCATATAAAACTGACGTGGGAATCCATCAAACTGCGCTCGCTTTGATATTTTTTTTACCTACAGATATATACATACCTACGTACAGAGATATAATTACTCGCTGCAGTTTTTGTTTGACATTCGTTTTACGGGGGATTCTTTTTTACATATAACGGGCGGCTCCGTATTACTTTCTCGCATTTCGCAAGTTATCGCGCTCGTTCTCATTGTTTTTTGGGGAGATTCATGATTTAATTGCTCATTGTTTTTTCTTCACCATTCTTCTGATTTATCCAAGTGGAAGTCCACAGATCTTCTTCATCATGAGAGTTGTGCAAATTTTAAGTCTAGTCGCACAACTTGCGACGGTGGTGGGAGGGACGGCTTCGATTTGTCAAACGCAGGTGGATCCAAGAAATATCGATGCTGCTACTCGCTGTAAGTCATTCACTTTTACTTCTCGTCATATTGTATTTCGTTAGAATGTTCTACGAGAATCTGAGTAACTAATCGTAAACCCAGCTCAATGGTGTACAGTTCAAATCAACACATGCGGAACCCTCTGTGGTGGTGTCACAGATGAAAATACATGTGATATAGTACGTATCCAATTTTCTCTCATCTCTCGCATCCCAAATCACTCTCCCTCAACACACATCTCTCTCCCATCCCTAACACATCCTATAGACATCCCTCTGCTACTCATGCACCTGCACTTCCAACTCCTCATCTCCCGCTCTCCAGCTATACACCTCCACAATCCCATTCTTTGTCTGCGAACAAACATACTCAGATTGTATCGCAGCCGGAGAAGACGATCCCACTGCTCAGAAAGCATGTAGAGTCACCGAAGAACAGAATTGCGGAACTCTAAGCCCAGATACTGTTTCTTTTTCCGCTTCCGCTTTGCCCTCGAAATCGACAGTGAAACCTACTCCAATACCTCAGATGACATCGCAAACGGGAACAAATACGAATACGAACACGGATGAATTGATAACCAGCACGACGAAAACGGTAACGCCAACCCCGACGGGAACGACGACTGTGTGGACTACGTCTACGGCTTCTTCTGGGTCAGGAAGTGCGGGTAATGGGACGATAGGGAGTGGAAGTGCGACGGGGAGTTTGTCGTCGTTTATGGGGGTGAACGGTGTTAGTAGTAGTGGTGGTGGTGGTGGTGGTGGTGGGGGTAGTACTACAGCGTCGACGGTGTCGAGGACGAGTAGTTCGAAGACGGTGACGGGAACAGCGATAGGAACGAGTACACCGAGTACGATTAGTGAGGGTGGTGCTGAGAGAATGAGAATCGGGGGAGCGTGGGTGATCTGGGGTGTATTGATGGTTGGAGGTGGAGTTGGGGTTATGAATTTATAGAGAATGGGAGAGTGAATGTTCAAATTTTTGGGGGGGGGGGGGGGGGAATTAATGGATAATGATGGAAATGCGGAGGAAATTCGGAGGAAATATCAAAATCCCACGGTGAAGTGAGGATGAGAAATCAAGCGAGAAATGGAATGGAGGTTGCTGAGGAAATTAATACCCATTTGAATGTTGAATGTTTTTTTTTTCGACAGAAAAACAGCCATGCACAGCTTTCCACGCAATCCATAGCCGTTCAATTCTCTAACTATAAATGCAAGTGATATCACATCATAGCTACTCTCCCTACATGCTCCATCCCCAACTCTTACAAGTTCCTCAACGAAGCACTATCCGGATTTCCAAACGGCTTCCGTCTAAACTCTACGACTTTCCAAGGTCCAATTTCCGAGCGCGATACTTCTTCATGCAAGGCTTCTACGAACGCTTCGTGCCGAGGAACGCGCAAAATTCCATACTCTTCAGAAGTAGGACTGGGGGCCCAGAAATGAAAATTCAAGCCGGAGTATTGGCGGAATTGAAGGAGGGAGCGGAGCCATGGTGGGGGATTATCGAATTCTGTTGAGAAAGGGGCGTGGTTGCGGGCACAGAGACGGAAGAGGGTGGTTTTTACTGGAGGGGAGGGGAGTGTTAGATGGTTAGTTGTTAAAGGGGATGCGGGGTTTGGGATGATTAAGTAATGGAAAAGTAGAGAAAGATGTAGATGAAGAAGACGAGATGAAGAAATTGACTCACCGGATTCCGGATAGCTCATCCCGATATCTATTCTTGGTTCGGCTTTGTAGCGGAGAGATGCAATATCAATATCCCAACTCGTGTCACCGAAGCCGACTTGCCATTTCTTGTACATGCGGTCCCTGTTTTGGTGATAGTAACAGGAGGAATAGTAAAAGTACCACGGACTTTTCAAGAATTCCGAATCGTCTTCATCTAGATGAAGCTAATAGGAGGAAGTAAATCAGTATTCACAACTCCAACAATACACACAACCCCCAACAATCGAAGAAAAGGAGAAAACGACAAACCGTTGCTCGAGCCCAAGGACAACTAAAGTAATTCATAATTGCTTCCCATGCTCTGAAATTCATTCCCTCGTTGTAATCTACCATCGCCAATGAATACGGAACCGGAAATCTGAGATGCGTGATAGCCGCTCGATCCCTCTCCTTCAACCCGAAAATAAACTCCTCCGCATCCTCCGCGTTATCAAAATGCAGCGCATTATTCGCAAAGAAAGCTGCTCTCGCTTCCGGGAGTTCCAAATTCATCTGTTTGCACACCAAACGATAGGAAGGAAAATCCGAGCGACCAGTTCTCGCACACAGCGCATGATCTCCTTCTCTCGCCGGACAGGCCGAGCTTTTGAGTCCAGTGGTCGCCACGCACGAATGATACTTGAAAGGTGTCGACGAAGACGAAGAAGCATCTTCAACGTCAATCCGGGAAATATGCACTATATTCCCCTGCACGACATCATTCCAAATCGCATCTCTGATTTCCCTCGGGAGACACAGCAACGTCGATTTACTCTGCGCCTCGCACGCTCGTATATGCGCAGCTTGTCTTTCCGCACTTGCGATTTTCCGCAGCGCTTCTTTCTTCGCCTCCTCAACATGTGTCCTAGCCAGCTCAAAATCTTCTCGTTCATCGAAAAGCATTCGGATTCGCTGATACTCTTGAATCAGATCATCATGTCCTTGCAATATCTCTCCAACTGTCGCTTCAAGATCCTCGCGTAACACTTCCTCGTCTTCATGAAAATTCTGAATAGTTTCTATGAATCGTTCATAAATTTGTGGTTCATCTTGGAATCGATTCTACGCTTTATGATTAGCCTCATTTTCTATTTTCCAGAAGCTTGGCTGGCTTAGTACTTCGAGCGTATGTAAATAGCTTTGGATCGCAGAATATACAGTGACCTCCTGACTCCCGAGCAGTAATTCTGGTTGTTTAACTTGAAGGGTATTCATTTTCATGATTGACGGTGTCGTTCTCGTTTAATAATTTATGTAGGGGCAAAAGTTGGAAGTGAAGATAAATTTGGCAATTCAGCGATATAGAATTGGGTTGAGATGAAGCTTTTATACTTGTACATATACCTACCTAGTATACCTATACCTAGAAAGAAGACATGCATCAGTCAATTTGTTAATATCATAGGCAACAGGTATGCATTTTCTAAATTTGGAACACAATTCAAGGCGTCAAGGGTAGCTGGAGCTAGGCATGTCAAGCTCAAATCAGTTTAGTTTAGGCAGTGCCGTCACATGACCTTTGAATCAAGCATGTTCGGGATGCTTGTCTTCTTTGGTGGGTTGTGCTTCCACTTCCATAACTGATTGAGATGATTAACAAATAAACTGAGATTTGGTAAATACATTATTATTAATTCGATAGAACACTTTTAACAATCAGATTTTGTGCTTCATAAGCAAATCATTTCATGGACATTCTGGTATGCGCCATGCCAATAAATTTCCAGACTCCGATCCCCTCCCACTTCCCAAAACGACCTTTCAATATACAAACAACTATTGTAATACACGATGAGGAAATATCTTTCGTCCCGTCACATTCACCTGATATTCATGAATTCCATCTCCAGCACCAACATATCTGTGAACGGTCAGTATCGCGAATAAAAATAAAAATATGCAAAAGCACATACAGTAGCCTACTATCTTCGCTCCAAGCGAGCCCCATGGTGTCCACTGGCTCACTCCTTCCCTCTCGCTCTCGTCTCAATACATTATTATCATTCATCACGTCAAGACTAAGTCTAGTGAGCGCATCCAAGGGACGCCATGGCTGTCTTGATCTTTGGGTAGATGCCTGATTTTCTTCCTCTTCCTCGTCAGGTTGATCTCGAGAGTACCGTGTTCGATACACTTCTTCAAGTTCAGCCCAAGCAGTAGGGGCTGCTTCATAGCCAACGGTTGGAAGATGATGAGCGAGTGACAAACGCTCTAACCCAGAAAAGGTATCTGCACTTGTCCGTACAGTTCTGTCAGACTCGACATCTACGGTGCTATTGTCTAATATTGAAGATGCTTGTTGTCGCCTGATCACATTCCTTATTTCGTTCTCTACTACACGTCTTTCACGGTCCTGATTCTGTCTATCGATGAAGGCTCGAAAGGAAGCCGGTGTGCGGTCTGAATTAACAAATTCTCGTAAAGCACTTGGGAGACCAGCTGTAGATACGCGGCGTTCTGTTTCAGCAAACATGTCTGCCATTCTACCTCCTTCCAAAATACCCCATCTAGAGGTGGTTCCCATTTCTCGTGCCTCACGGATTGCATCTCTTTGTCGACGAGCTGTTCGATGCGCCTGTAATATTTCCATCTCATCAGAAGTTGGCGGAATTTGGTGTCTGTCAGTCAAATTGCGAGCAAGGCTACTTAGCTGTTGTTGGTCAAAATCCAAGCCTAGATAGTCTGGTATTGCGCTGGCAGAAGCCTCGGAAGGGGACTCTGTATGCGAAGCACGAAGCCTTGCATCTAACCTAGCCTCTATTGACGTAGGATTATTTGAGCGCTCGATAACCCAGACTCGTTCAACACCTTCCCCTCGAGCATTTATATCAATTACTTGCCTGGAAGTGAACAGATCCCGTACATCTGCCACTCCAACACGTCCACTAGCTTCAGTCCAAGCAAGTAGATCGAAATTATTTGGTGAGAATTCCATGGCTCTAACAGCCCCAGATTCAACATTGGGTCGTGACGTAGTAAAACTAACTTCCAATGGATCGGCATCGTCTTTGGTTAGTTCTTCGGTCAAGAATATCGATATGACCCCATACTGAGTGGCAACAGCAAGATATTTGCCCGAGTTAGAAAAGCATGCTGCAAATGAACCTCTCATGGCACTTTTGTCCGATGGTCGTTGTCCTTCTAGCTGAATCCTGCCAGAAAATACCCACTCATACTCCTCTTTCAGATGCGGCGTAAAATTACTTTTTGAGACCTGTTTAAGCTGCCTTTCGTGAATGTAGAGGAAAGGGTCATCGCAACTATTTCATATTAATAAAGTGTCAACGTCGAGTGAACTCGAGGAGCATACATTGCAATGAGGATGTTTCCTTTCGGTGATATCACAGCGCGGTTCACATAATCAGGATAATTGAGAGTATCCGCCATCTCGGAGTCATGTAAGTTGAGTATAGTAACAGAGCTGTCGTTGAGCGCTGTAACAGCAACAGGTTCCTTGTATCCCATGGGCAACGATGATTCTGAAGGGAACCAAAGTGTTATACAGTTCACTACGTCAGATCCTATCTTCTTGGACACACGCAGAGTAGTAGCATTAGGACTAGATCTTCGGGAATTATCGATAGCTTCTCTTTGAGTTGATCTTGCTGACGGTTGTAGGATGAGAGGCAATCGAGCATCGGCATCAGCACTCAAATCCAAGAGCGAATCAGTCTTGCCAGGTCTCTCTCCTTCTCCCACATAGAAGCTTGTGAATTGTCCTCTATCTCCTCCAGCGCATACCCAATCCTTTGCAGCCGTCAAACATCGCGGCTCGTATTTTAAAGTTGCGAGAAGCTCGCGCTCGCGAGATTTCGTATTAAGACAAATTATGTCGTGCGAACTTGGATAGTAAATAACATACTGTTTCGGAGAGCTCAGCAAATCGTGCAATTGCCAATGACTATTAGAAGTTAGAAACCGCGTCATTCTATTCGGCAGACACCAGTAACTGCTATGGAAGGCAGCGTAATTGCGACTGATTTTTCACAAGAAACAGCAGTCGATAGAAGCCATCAAGAATTGTGCAGCAACGAATACAGTTCTACATCTTTGGATCTGTTTCGAACATGAATGCGCACAATAGGGTATTTTCCGCACCTTGGGCTAATGGAGGCTCGATAGTATTTCCGTGGCGACGATCGAATTAAGTCGTCGGTAGGATGATATCTATCAAGGTACAAGTGATCAGAATGTAAATCATAACTGAATAGTTATATCAAGCATTACGTTGTACAGACTCACGAGCTTTCTTCTTTGACAGCCATACTGTCATGCATTCAAGATATTGCAACCATGCACAACAGGAGATGAACAAAGTAAGTATCAGGCTGCGATTAAATTGTGAAGATATTGAATATTATTTATGCACCCATATGTGGTCTTTCAAAAGACTCCTATTCTTTTGATGAAAGGAATAATTTGAAGCTTTCCAAACTGTAAAGTGTGTTGAGGAGATACAGAAACAGATGTTGTGAATGATAAATGTCAAGCTCGAAGTTTCAACATTCATTTCACGACGTCAACTTCACTAGTTTCGGCAACTAATCGTATCCCGCATTCTGAGTGGATAATGACATAAGCACACATTCGATAGCCTGATAACCTCATAATCCTTGCCACATCGTATATGCCCGAGCGTCCGTGTCTTCGATCACGTGCTCGTGGTTTCGATGATGTTCTACCAATTGACCAAGAAAAAGACGCTAAAACTAAAAATGACATTTTTTTCCTTGTGGCCCGCCGTTGATTTATATTTTCTCCCTCCATCGCCTCAATCTTGTAAATCATTTACTTATACCTTTTTTCTACCCATTCCTTCTTCTCATACTTAATTCATATTACTTCTACAATTGAGTTTCCTTTATTATAGAAGCAATACAAATAAAGATGTTTGCTTCCAGAATTTCTAGAGCTGTAGGTTTTCCAATTCAAGTAGACTAACTACTATGTCATTATCAACACAATAGCTAACTTTTCTTGCTCAATAGCTTCCAAGAGCAACTTCATCCGTCACACGCACAGCACCTCTCCGCACACCATTAGGATCATCGTTTACCAGACGATGGAATTCAGATGATGCGGATAAGAAGGTCAAGGGACCAGTCATTGGTATCGATTTGGGTATGTTTATTCCACGCAGTGGCAAGCAAGCTTTTTCGAATCACATACTAATCTCTCAACAGGTACCACTAACTCAGCTGTTGCTGTGATGGAAGGACAAACTGCTAAAATTATCGAGAACTCAGAAGGTAATTACTTACTAACTTCCAATTGCACTGTTGTTGACCCCGCACTAACTCGATTCCTAGGTGCCCGCACAACTCCATCCGTAGTAGCTTTCGCACAAGATGGTGAGAGATTGGTCGGTGTATCTGCAAAGCGTCAAGCTGTTGTTAACCCAGAGAACACTTTGTTCGCAACAAAGCGTTTGATCGGACGAAAGTTCACTGACGCTGAGGTTCAACGTGATATCAAGGAGGTTCCATACAAGATTGTTCAACACACAAACGGTGATGCCTGGGTTTCTGCTCGTGGCGAGAAATACTCTCCATCGCAAATTGGTGGATTCGTCTTGCAAAAGATGAAGGAAACCGCTGAGGCCTACCTTACTAAGCCTGTTCAAAATGCCGTTGTTACCGTTCCAGCCTACTTTAACGATTCCCAACGTCAAGCCACCAAGGATGCTGGTCAAATTGCTGGTTTGAACGTTCTCAGAGTTGTCAACGAGCCAACTGCTGCCGCTCTTGCCTACGGATTAGAGAAGGATGAGGACAAGATCATCGCTGTCTACGATTTGGGTGGGGGTACTTTCGATATCTCCGTCCTCGAGATTCAAAAGGGTGTTTTCGAAGTCAAGTCTACCAACGGTGATACTCACTTGGGAGGTGAAGATTTCGATATCCACTTGGTTCGCCACTTGGTTCAGCAATTCAAGAAGGATTCTGGTATCGATCTCTCCGGTGATCGTATGGCCATTCAACGTATCCGTGAAGCTGCTGAGAAGGCTAAGATCGAGTTGTCTTCCTCCATGCAAACTGATATCAACCTTCCTTTCATCACTGCCGACTCTTCTGGACCAAAGCACATCAACCAAAAGCTTTCCAGATCTCAACTCGAGAAGCTCGTCGATCCATTGATCACCCGCACCATCGAGCCAGTAAGAAAGGCTTTGAAGGATGCCAACCTCGCCGCAAAGGATATCCAAGAAGTTATCCTAGTTGGTGGAATGACCCGTATGCCAAAGGTCAGCGAGTCAGTCAAGTCTATCTTTGGTCGTGACCCCGCCAAGTCTGTTAACCCAGATGAGGCTGTTGCCATGGGTGCCGCTATTCAAGGTGGTGTTCTCGCTGGTAACGTCACCGACGTCCTTCTCTTGGATGTTACCCCATTGTCTCTTGGTATTGAGACCCTCGGAGGTGTATTCACCAGATTGATTAACCGAAACACTACTATCCCTACCAAGAAGTCTCAAATCTTCTCTACCGCCGCCGATTTCCAAACTGCTGTCGAAATCAAGGTTTACCAAGGTGAGCGTGAGCTTGTCCGCGACAACAAGATGCTCGGAAACTTCCAACTTGTTGGTATCCCACCTGCTCACAGAGGTGTTCCTCAAATTGAGGTCACTTTTGACATTGATGCCGACGCTATCGTCCACGTCCACGCCAAGGACAAGTCAACCAACAAGGATCACTCCATCACCATTGCCTCCGGCTCTGGTCTTTCCGATGCTGAGATTCAAAACATGGTTGATGACTCTGAGAGATACGCTGAGTCTGATAAGGAACGCAAGGCTGCTATCGAGGCTGCCAACCGATCTGACAGTGTTCTCAACGATACCGAGAAGGCTTTGAACGAATTCGCCGACAGACTTGACAAGACCGAGGCTGATGGTATTCGTGAGAAGATTACCGCACTCCGTGAGTTCGTCAGCAAGAGCCAGTCCGGAGAAGGTACTGCCACTGCCGCTGAGTTGAAGGAGAAGACCGACGAGCTCCAAATGGCTAGCTTGAACCTCTTCGATAAGATGCACAAGGCCCGCGCTGAGTCCGGTGAGGCCAAGCCAGAAGGTGCCGAGGGCGGCGCATCAGAAGGCGAGGCTAAGGATGGCGAGAAGAAGCCTTGAAAACATTAATATAGGCATATTTCATCTCAACTCTTTTTAGCGATATCCAGGGGCACACATAGAACTACTGTTCATTGTATTTTTGTACTCATATGTTGCATATAGGCAACAATTTCCCTTGTCATAAATACTCTTTTTTTTTTACTCTTCATAGCTTTGGGACAAAAGGCGTTGGAGCAACCAATACTGTTCGCTAGATTTAAGCGTTCAGGGAATGTGTTATGAGGCAAAATTACGGAAAATGGCATTACTCTAGCTGTGTATAAAAATTAGGATAAGACGACGAATAATATGACATCCCCTCTCATGACTCAACTCAACAATTCCAACGTCTAATCACATGTGACATTTAATGGCTTTTTTGTAATGTACTTCAAACTGATATTTGACTTTGCCAAAAGTTCATGCCCAGATCCCTCTCGAGTATGTCAGAAATATGAAACAATGTAGTACATGAATGCTATTATGAATTACTCAAGCTTCTAAACTTGAGAATAGATTCGCACTTCTTTTGACAACCCTGAGATGATTCACAACTTGGCAATAGGTAGCATACGATCCCTCCTCGCGACTGACTGACTCACTGAACTATTTAAATTGCCTACCCAATGAAGTTGAGTTCCTTCAAACTGAAGTGAAGGGTATCAATGAAACTCGCTACAATACTACCTCAATGATCGTACGAATTTCACAAGACCGTTGTTCATCAGGTTAAATCGAGTCTTTTCAGATGAGTCAATAAACAGCTGGTCGAATGCTTTGAAAGCATTGAAGCCTTGAAAGGGTGTGACGAGAGCAAGACAAGGCTGTATGTTACCCGCTAGTGCCTGAAGCGGTTAGATCGATTATTGGATAACGAAAGCTCGCCCTAGCAAATTTGCCCACCCACTCAAAGCGATATTTTAAATAAGAACTTCACGTTGAACATCGAACCACCCCACAATCGAAGTCACGATCAACCACTCTGCCATCGAATTTTAGCAGAGATAATTAAGGGAGCTTGATAAAGCAAAAGGCTCGTATCTTAGGGCCGTAATAAGCGCATTATATCACCCTGCAAAGGCAAAAAGCACACCTATCAAAAAAATGTCTAGAGTCGCAAAGTGAGAAAATTCGGCATTTTTAATCAACCCTCAGCAAACTCTAACAAATACTATAGTAATCGCGATTGGGCCGATGATGAGGATCTCGAGGATTCTAACGAGCTCCCACAGTCGACAACAACCACCAATAAAGATGGCACACAAACAATTGTAACCTGGAGGTTCAACGATGATGGAAAGAAGGTCAAGACAACTCGCCGCATCAGATTCACAAAAGTCAAAGAAATCGTGAACCCAAGAGTTGCTGAGAGAAAGTCCTGGAGCAAATTCGGATTATCCCAGAAGGATGCTGCAGGGGTGAGTCTAAACGGGTTTCAATATAAGGGGAAAATGTTGACTGATTTATTCATAATTCCAGCCTGCTTCGGATACAACCAGTGTAGGAGAGAACATTATATTCAGACCAAGCACAAACTGGAGAAAGGACGCCAAGGAGGAGGTTTCGGACGCCGGAGCTATGAAGAACAAGTTGAAGGACAAGCAAGTGAAATGTCGTATTTGTAGCGGAGAGCATTTCACAGCCAAGTGTCCTTTCAAAGGCACGATGGCACCTTTGGGCGAGGAAGGAGCAGTCGATGTTGCAGCTGGTCACGCAGATACTCCAGAGGGTCCAGGTGGTCTTGGTGCTGGCAAATCTTCATACGTACCACCTCATCTCAGAAACGGCGGTACCGCTGGTGGTGAGAGAATGGGCGGTGGCAAGTTCGAGAGAGATGATTTGGCTACTCTACGTGTCACTAACGTAAGTTTTCTATGTTCCATCAATCTAATCTGCTTTGCTAATCCACAGAATAGGTCTCAGAAATGGCCGAGGAACAAGAACTTCGGGATATGTTCGAACGTTTCGGCAGAGTCACAAGAGTCTTTTTGGCGAAGGACCGAGAAACTGGTTTGGCAAAGGGCTTTGCATTTATTAGTTTCCAGGAAAGATCAGACGCTGCAAAGGCTTGCGAAAAAATGGATGGTTATGGTTTCAAGCATTTGATTTTACGAGTCGAGTTCGCAAAGAAAGCTTCATAGATATATCGGCATTTATGAAAGGGTGGTTATGTGTAATGGGATATCATTGTTTCCTCGCCTTTATTGGTCATGGCTTATGGATGTTATGAACTTTTCTTCACTATCAGAACTGTTCTGACCGCAAGTATGAAAAAATCAATCACGCGAGATACTTTTGAACCAAAATACCTTCCTCGTACCTGAATATTGAAATGTAGCCCAAGGCTACAAGTGAAGATGTAAAACACTAGGGTAATCAGCGCCGCATTGTAAAGCCACGATTTGAATCAAATCCACATGTACGACACCACGTTTTTCTCTCGAGTCATTATTGAGAGTTTTAGTCCGAGAGCCTTCAATAGCGCAGACACACAGACATAACACTTAAACATTTTAATGTTCTCTTTCAACCTTTTTTTCCGAGATGGACTAGGCGTCGCTTAAATCACTGCCTATCACAATCTACCTTTCATCTTAAGTCTCAAATACTTTCTAAGCCTCTGACCGAAAAATATTCTCAATAGTGTGAAGCTTATGATCAAAATCGAACCATTCTCCCATCCCATGTGGTATCAACACCGAGGCCTTGATGCTCTAGAGTCTAGAGTCAGAGGCATACAAAGCCAGCGGGGGAAGCAGGGTCTGTTATATATCTGTGTCTGTGTAATTGCTATTTGCATCGCCACTGATGCATGCGCATGTGCCTGCGCGACATCCACCCGGATTCTGCACGGAGTCTTTATTATAAATTATCCCATCCATCGGAGATATCCAAGATATCTACTCCCATGATCCATCGTTTGAGAGTTCTCTTTCTGCATCTGGATTGGACGAAAGATAAGATTGTAAGGATTCTCCGCATGTTCTTCCTCATGGCCTCCAAGTGGCCAATGATAGTTCCATATCAGCGGCACGGCAAGGTCGTAGTCCGTAGATGTGGTAACTTAGTAAGAAGAGGAATTGCAGGACTGGTCTAAGTGGAAAAGAATGAGATGCACTTTTCATGGATTTGAGGCTGGTCACAGCGAGAATGCTTAACCGCATACCGTTCGGTTTTAATCGCTGTAGTACCCTCTTTGAAAAGTTTACTTTCTCTCTCGTTCTCTTCTCGTTCTTACTTTGGCTGATTGCTGTCTCTAATTTCTCTTACTGGTTAATACTGGTCCTATTTGCACATACATCTTTGTCTTTGCTTGACGTATTGATATGAGATGCATCTTACTTTCTTTTGAACCCTTCCCGTTATTTATTGAATGCTAGGAAGCTAGTAGTGTCTCATTCACTCCACAATCTTTCGCAATCTTTTTTTGGATCTACATTATATCTTCCTTTCCTTTCGATCTCCAACGAGTTTTTTTTACGTCTGAAGTCGCAGAGACCACTTGCAACATGCAAAAACCTCCCGCCTGGGTAATAGCCGCTTGGCCTGAGCCCAATTACGTCGATCCAGAAACACACGGATGGGGGAATGTTATTCTGAATATCGTATTATACGTAGTCCTATGTTGCTTTATTTCACTGAGGATATGGACGAGGACAAGACTGAGGGCTTCGTTTGGGGCGGATGATATGATGATCTTGTTTGCTATGGTTGGTTTTACCTACTATCCAAACCAGAGTCCTCGCATGCAAAGACGACGGATGCGATGTTTTACGATTAGAGATGCTAATTTCATGATGATGTAGATTCCCACAACCGGGTTCTTTGTTCTGAGTCTGCTGGCAGATCTGAAATTCATGTGGACCAGACATCAAGTATGTATTCCTCTCGCCACACAAACCTTTCTCTGTAATCATCACTGACAACAATCTAGTACGACATCCCAAGCTCACATGTAGAATTCGGACTGAAGATGGTCCTCTTGATAGAGATCATGTTTGCATCAGCATGCACCTTTACCAAATTATCCATGTTAATGCTTGTTCGTCGCATGTTAACCAGTGCCACGATATTCTGGAGACGGGTGACTCTGGCTGCTATTTGCATAGTTGGGCTACAAGGAGCTTTATTTTGTATCGTGTTGGTGTTTCAATGTAGGTTAGTTAAAATTATTGCTTTTTCCTTATGTTTGATATGCCAACAGGGGGGGCAAGTGTTGTGATGTGCAATGATTTACATACTAACACGTCATAGACCCCCGCAGGATTACTGGAAAATAACAGACGAGCCCCAACCGAATTGCATAGATCAATCTTCAACACTCCTTCTTGCCGGAATCGTCAATACTCTTACAGACTTCCTCGTGGTCATCCTTCCCATCCGCACAGTGGTTAGTCATCTTATCCCTCTCATCCACAAATCAAATTCTAACTGTAACAAAATAGTACTCGACAAATCTCCCACGTCGTCAAACCCTCATCGTCTCTTTCCTCTTCACTCTCGGTTTCCTATCATGTTTTGCAGGTGTCATTCGTACATACTACATGTACCAAGTAACACAAACATATGATCAAGTATGGGCTTCTTTCCCCGTATGGGTTTCAGCAGCTGTAGAATTATATGTTGGAATTGTAAGTCACTTGATGCTCCCCCTTCCCCTACTTCCTAAAACGTCGGACCCTAACACTTTCCAACTAGATATGCACCTCCATCCCCGCCACAAAAGTATTCTTCGCAACCTACATTCCCAAAATCTTTAACTCCCACCCCTCTCGCCCCTCCCAATCTTCTTTCAGTGCCCCAAATATTTTCAAGACTATCCCAGTCCCACCTTCCGGCTTCGGTATCACATCGACCTCCAAATCCACAAACTCTCTCCCCAAATCAAAATCACGTTCAAACTCCAATTCAAAGGTCCTCAGCAGTCAAAGCTCCCAAGTTCCTCTGAACGGACGAGAAGAAGATACTCAATACGATAATGACACCGACCTCGACCAAACCGTCGGAACGAGCATTTTCGAACTCGGCACCTACACAAACCGCTCTAGTAAATCGAGCAAAGCAAGCAGCAAGTCCCCAATCATCTCAGACGAGGAAATGCACATCGGAACCGCATCCGTGATATCCCCACTAAACAGCAATCCCGTATCCAGCAGCACCCATAATATCGCGAGCCTCGGACGCAATATCCTGGGCTCCGTGCGACGGGACAAATTATCGCGCGGCGGCGATCGCTCGCGAAATCGATCGAGGTCGAGGAATCAGGAGAGGAATCAGGAGAGAGAAAATGATGATCTCTATATGTCTCTCTCGGAGGAGTCGGGGCGGAAGGAAAAGGAAGGGGGTTGGGATATACATATTGATGTGGTGAGGACGGTAGAGGTGGAGGAGGAATGTATTGGGGGGAGGATATGATTTGACGTGTTAATGGATAATGGATAGGCCCTGGAGGCTCGACTTGAGGTTTTAAAGTCTTGAAGGTCAAAAGTAGTCTCGGAGGTCTTTGGCTGATGTTTTCGTGTATATAATGTCTTCTTCTTCTTCTTCTTCTTCTTCTTCTTCGAACTGTATTTTATTGTATTGTATGTAGCTTGATTATTGGACTTTGTATGTAATGATCACAATGAAGAGACTTTGAGATTTTCTAGTATATTGCATATGGTTTGATTGTGAGTTCTTTGGGGACGTACCAGGTTTCGAGCAAAAAACCTGCAGAACTGATTCAATCGTCATCAATTCTGACGAGAATGTTTAAAGTAGATACTAAGAATCTGGTTATTTTCGCCGCACCATAGTCACCGCGCATCGACATCAAGAAGCATTCACTTCACTCAGCATTACATCACAAAGTAGTATAAGATGAGGCAACGCACAATCCATTTAATTGCTACGTCAGATCCCTCTCTCTGCCCATCATACCCGCAACCGTCCCCCATCCAGCGAGTTTTTGCACAGCTCCACAATCGAAACGCCAGCCAGTCATAAAAGAGTCCAGCAGCCAGAGCAAGTTATTCCTTCCTATGTACTCCGCTAAAAAAGAAAGCCAAGCCCAATATATGCCCCGTAGCAAATACAAGTCTTGTGCCATTAATTAGAGAAACGAGGATACTATGTATTCAGCCGTGTGAAATTATTCATGTTATTTTGATCGATAGGTGCGGTATTCATGAAAATGCATGACTCCGCCAGTCGAGAAAAAGAGACCGAATTCGACCATGGGTTGTGTTGGGTAAATTAAAACCGATCTTCGACTCTTTCCAAATCATCGTAAGATAATGTGAATTCCCGCTACAATAAAGTTAGTGAAACCGACTGGGGATAGAATATCTCGATACTCACTCGTTGTCTTGACCAAGTCTTTACATCGAAAAAGATGTAGTAGCCTTGCTCCATCTGTTGGGTAAGTTGACGAGGAACCATCAAATCATCCTTGGTAAGCCAAACTTGCATCTTTTTATGATAACGCCAATTCCTATTGCCACTATCAAGTAACGAGTGCATTAGTAAGTGATATGCGATGGAACGGGTACTTTACTTACAGCTCCCTTGCTGCCATAAGCTGCTGCTTGTCACCCGGATTACTGTAGAACATAAATAATAAGGCCTCTTCGTTGAAATTGGGCATCTTGCTTTCGAGGGGAGCAACATTAAGAACGCGATAGCATTCGGGTAGGTTGAAACGAGCAACATCTGGTCGTGGGGGCTCGTTGTCCCATAAAGAGTAGATTTGGCTTGAGATAGGTCTTGTGAATTGTTAGCATGGCTAAAATAATGAGATTGAACAGCAGAGAGCTATCCAGCCAATACTCACTGCTCAGAATTTAGATCGAGACCCAAATGGCTGATATCGGTTCCAGTGACAAGAGCAGCATAGTCGGGAAAATTGTTCATCATATAGGAAAATCCCTTGAGTCCAAATCTGTCGGCGTCACTCATGTGAGCTAATGGATCTTGTGCTTTAGAGTCCGCGTTATCAGCACTTCTTGATAAAGAACTAGGGTCGAGCTCTTGTGCTTGGGTCAGGGTCGATGGGCCATCTGGTCGAGAGCTGGTTGCTGTAGGCATGTTGAATTGTTGATTGTCGTCTTCTCTGGGTGGTATTGGATTTGACGAGCCAAAATTAGTGTCTTGAAAGCCCTAGACAAATTGATCAGCAGAAGCTCAATACATTAGGAAGATACTTTATCATACCCCGACTTCATTCTCTCCAAGGCGTGGTAAACCTTGCCGGCTGGAGTCTATTGGGGATCTATTCGTGGATGGGCCTGAATAAAGAATAAGATTAGCCGAACAGGACAAAAATATATCACCCAATCAACATTGCCAATTTACTCACCTGATAAACTTGCTGGTGAATCAATTCTATTACCTGGTGCCACTCGACCACCAGTAGATAATGCACTTAAAAGGCCATTACTCCTGGCTTGCTGTTGCTGTGGTGGGTTATTAGAACCAAATCCCAATCCCCCACCGGCTCCAAACCCCACGTTTTGTAATAGGCCAGAGCTTCGATCTTGGCCGATCTCTCCATTCGAATTTCCCAGAGGTGGAAATTCATCTGCGCTTCTCGGTTGTGAAGACTGACCAACTGCATTTTGAGCCCCAAATCTGAAACCACCCGAATTGTTCGATAATTGAGTTGATGAGTTGAAGAGCTCGTCTTGCTGCTGTTGTTGCGCAGCATGTTGTGCGGATAATCCAGCTGATTGCTGTAACCGTATATTTGCTGGGCCAATATTACGTGCTCCTGCCGCTCCCCATGTTGACTGATTGTGCTGAGGTTGGTTTCCTGATAGTGAGGGGAACTCACTAAATAATGTGAGCAAAGTCAACTGTCAAGATTTGTAGTGCTGAGAAAGAAAATAACAAAGCTCAGACAGGCTTAAGCAGACAGTATAATCTGTAGTGAATGTGACAGAGCTATGGATCGTATCTCTAACGTATAGAACCTGACTGCGCACACTTGAAAGTTGTTTGAATTTTTATACCTTCCAGAAGAATATGGACGTGGGGGGATACTATGTCTTGTTGAACGTGCTTTTCCCATATTTGAGTAGTTGTTGTGGGAAGGAGGGGAAGGTTGCGACAAGAAGAAATACTCTTGAAAAAACCTGGGAAGTACAAAAATCAAAAGTAGGTAACAACTTACGACAAATCTAGTGGTGTTGCTGGTTGTGAAGATCCTCCTATTGTTTGTGCAAAGCTTGCCATAGGTCCGTTGTTTGGGCGTGGATTTCCTAGACCTGCTCCTCCCATCGGTACACCTCCAAATGCCCATGTCGCTCCATTGTTTGCTAGAAGTCATAGACAAACATCAGTATACATGAAGTCTCCTCCTATTGTTTCAAATATGAGGGGTGTGAATCGTACCCATTTTCCCACTGGGTGGTATCCTATTTGATACGTTCCTGTTCTGCATCTGCTGTTGATTTGGGAATCCATTGGGTATGCCACGCATGGCCTGCGGTCCTACACCTGAGAAAACAAAGTCAGCATGTTTCCGTCACTAGTCCCTCCGGTACAGAAAGTTCAATGAAAACCCCATGGTAGCTGCAGGTTAATGCGCCCAAACACTTTCTAGCTACACACACACTCCCTCCACCTCGAATCTCAGATCTCGATTTCACCCCTTCAAACTACGCCAGCAGACCCAGCAACTACCCCTCCGTGGAAGCTCTCTCATCCGATCCCATCTAGGTTATAAAATCCAACTTCATGCAGAGCTTGTGTAATATCCCGGCGGTCCATCCATATTCCACGCCATAGGGCGCCTATACACTGCTGGCGGTCCGCTGTATCTCGTATCCTTATGACATCCGGTATTCTCTTGCATTTGAAATACCATCCAATGCAAGCTGTCCCCCTTCTCTCTGGCAGCCGTGCAGCGGGGCAGTTGTGGGGTGGAAAAGGGAGTTGGAGAGCCTCATACCTGGTCGATTCATGGTCGATGTTGTGATTCCCTATATCAATTATTTCGTATTATTTTCCGACTTAGGACGATAACTTGTGCGCTTCTGAATGTGCTGTGATAGTAGAGTCGTTGGTTCAATTAACCATTGAATTTCATGAAGCTTGGGGAACCTTATTGCGCGCATGGGCACATGCCTCCCCGTAGTCTACTTCTGGATAAGGTCGGTTACTACTTACAAGGAACCAACTACAAGAATACATCACATCGTCTAGAGATCATCAATGCATCGGACGTGGAGTATTGGAAGATTAACAATATGTATAAAAAAAATATAGAACTTTTCATACAAGTTCAACTCAAGATTCCATTAGTATTTACGCTACCATCCAATAATTGCCTAGGTAGTGCTTCTTGAAACTGGAATCTAGACAACCTTGTGCTCACACTTATATAAAAGGTACCTAAATATTGAGATATTTATTCAGATGTTTATTTTATTGTTCACTTCGCATAACGTCAAGATCTATGGCTGCTCATTGATTCATTAGAACTTTGGTGTTCGATTTGACATTATTGGGTTGTCAGATTATACCACGCATTGATATACGATCGCATACTCCGTGACGGCAATGCTTTCTCTGCAGCATCTGATGACCATTGCTTCACCCTAGGGAAGATGGAACCCCGCTCCTGTACCCTCTCTTTGAGGACTATAACCACGCGATCACTACGACATCGCTACTCTGTACTAAAGCTTAGTAAATTAATTGTTCTATTCCTTCTTCTCTTGAATTTCCTCAGGGAACGGTTTCAAGACGATGTCCTCGAGTCGGATTATTGAATTGACTTTGAAGTGGCATCACGACGGGCGTTTGAACGAACACCACGCAGCTATTCCAATCTATGGTAGTCCCTACGGTACGTTTGATTTTCGAAAAATCGTCTTATTCATCAATAGCCCCCAGTTTGATTGTTCCAGGGAGACTGCTCGCTCCTAGAGTCGCCTCCATATTCATTTTGACTGTAATCATTACTTGTCTGAGCAGGAGACCACCCCGAGCTGCTAGCCACGTCAACGTCTGTGGACACTGACTTTCCCTTATTGCTCATTTGAGGTGAGCTATCACTCTGGTCACTAATATCCATAGCAGAGAAAACCGCCTTCATGTCCTGCACATCTTTGCTCTCGGCGTTCTTTGGCAAGGAGGTTCGATCCTCGACAAATTTTCGTATTGATCGAATTATTGGATGATATAGTTCGTCGTTTGGTAACCACCAATGCATGCAAGAATTGTCTCGAAATAGTTCTGCCATTTTGCTCCTGAACGCGAAAGTTTGAATGAAACTGGTGATTGTATTAGCAGTAGAACATCTGTGAACAGTAGTGCATATTACCCCTGAGACTCTATCATTGCCAACTTTCGGCGCATCCACATATTATATGCTTCATCCTTAGATAGAAAAAACACAGCAATACCAAGACCTCCTTGGAGACCAACGGCTG